CAAAGCTCAACCCCCAACCATGGTCGAGGTAACTCCAAACGGCCAAAAATGTCTGCCACAACTTCGTAATTCTAAGGTAGATTCTATCTCAGCACGTTTGGTGTTGTGGAGAAGTCAGTCTGAGTCCACCCGTATCCTTAGCCCCTCTAAACCAGCTCATAAACCGAACCCTTAACCCTAACCACTTTAAATCAACCCTTAAACCGAACCGCTGACCCTAATATAACTCCAAACAGTAAGGCTACTCTTTTTGAATTAATTAAGGCTAACCCAAACCCCAACACTACCCCCTAACCCTAACCAGTACCATCTACCCATAACCCAAGCCTTCTGACCCTAACCCTTTCACCCTGAACTTAACCCCTAGCTCTCTAACCCCTTGATCCTACACAACTAACCCTAACCCAAACCGTAACCCGGAACTCAAAACCCCAACACAGTTTATAATAAATGATAATAATGCATATGTCATAATATGACATTAATCATACACGCACTACACTGGTTAATAAACCCTATCCGTACGTCCTGGGGTCATTTTGTAACCCCGGGGTTGTATTCTTCACATTTTAAAATACTTCTAGATCTAGTGCTAAGATCTCTTTGAAACTTTCAGTATTTCTAAAAAAAATAATTATTTTGACAGACTGCCATGCAAAGCGTACGGATCGGATTAACGAGTTAATTTCCTCTTTGGAAAGTGGTGGCACAGAGTTCCCCGCGTCGTATGGATACGATAGTAAAACACGACGTACGGAGAGGGTTAAAAAACACAGCTTTGAGCGCTTTACAAATACAGAGAACTACACGTAAACAATAATACTACACTGTGTTTGAGTAAAAATCGATTATAATATTATGTCTCTTCAACCCAAATACAGAAACGACTTGAACTAACATTAAAAGAATTCTTGATCTCTCTCAAATCACTAGACCATGCGTTGGGGTCATGAGATGCAAATTAATGAATTCCTTTTCACCCATCGTTAAACAACTATCGTTCTTATCTCTCCTTCTTCTTATATGTACAGTGGAAACCATATATAACAGGCCCGGTAATAACAGGGATCCGGTAATAACAGGGATCTTTTAAATCCCCGATTTTTCCTACTC